TGTACTGGAGTTTATTTAAAGTCAAATAAAACAGGAAATGCATATACACATGTTTATTTGCATATTTTTCCGTCTTGTGTTCGGTATGCAATTTATGTTCTTTGTTATCTTTTTTTCACAGAAGCGATGAACACGTTAACTATTCCAAAATCTGTTAATGTAGACATAACATTCGTTTTTACAGAATAAGGGGTATTTAGCATCTTACATGTTCGGAAACGATTTCCTAAAAAAAAATCTACTAGAACTCAAAACTTTGACATTTCATCAGTCATTGCATTTTCCTATACTTAAACACCCTATCGCGTTGAAGTCTATTACATGAGATTTACAATTTTAATCAAAAACAACTACGAACATTAAAAATATACTTCGTGTGGTTGGTGTGGTAATTAACAGTACATAACAGACTACTCAATGGGTGTAGAATTCTTATAATGCTTATTAACTGTACATGCTATATTGTCCATATAACACTGATTTGCAACGCGTTGATTGGCACTGATACGGTTGATATCATTCTCCGACCATTGAATACCATCCAGCTATGTTAATAAGGTTTAGTTCTGTTTTATAAATACTTATGAGCGTACATATTATATACTATTAATAGTAGTTATAAATTATTTTATGCTCTTTACACAATTTTATATAAGTCGGAACTTGCTAGATTTACATGGATTATAATGTTTCTAGATAGATTTCCTAACCTAACTCGAATCAAAACAATGACAACCGACCAAAAACCAGAATGAATATTGCAGTTAAACAGTTTATTGACAAAACTAAAAATGTGAGTATCAAAACGCAACTGAATATGAATGGGCTCGGTACACGTGTTTTCTCACGTCACGCCGGTAGCCAAGGAATATATTACAACAGACCTAGTACAAGACAGAGTACGTGAATACGACAGTTATTACAAAAATATAATCCAAGTCTGGGCTTTTGCCTTTCTAATTTATTAGGGAAACGTCGTTTTTATAAAATAAATATATACTACAGAGAAATGGATCCTTAAAATCTCTGCAATTTAAGATGTTAGCTTAATGGAAATAAATTGTGCGTAAATCGAATAAAATACTTATTAAACAAAAGAAATTGACTTCTTGGTCTGTGGTTGGACTACATGTGAAAAACAGAATGTGTCACAAGCACTAACAAATCTTGGAGGTTTTTTTTACAAAATTCAGCATGGATCTGTAAGGATACGGATCTTTTGGGCGAAGTAACAGACTGAGGATTTTTAGAATTTCTTATAACGATAGTCTACAACTGCTTTTTATAGCGAATGAAATCCTTTATAAAGCTTGACCAGTATTCATTTTTTTAATGTTTCCATATTTCATTATAGTCATTTCAGACGCGATATTCAATGGCACATATGTCTTGCCTCACACCGCTCAAGGTTCACTGAGGAGGAATTGGGCGTTAAGGTCAATGCCCTGCGTTTACTTTCTCCCGATGTACCTGAGGTAACTAGTGACGCCGAAGATGTCATGTTACTTATTTATAAATCAAATTGAGATACTCATGTTTACCTATGAAATACCTGCAAAAGGCAACTGTTACTTTATGCTAGTATTTGATATATAGTAAAGGAAGACCTTTTCTTGTTCGTTTTGAGATTTGACAATTTTATAAAAAAGAACTTGAAAGTGGTCACCTTGTAAATTATAAAGATCCAATTGGGAATCACTTATTTATAGAACACTTATTAACCCGCTTTTTTACCACTTACTATAGATAAAATATATTTCAACATTCTTGAATAATGCTTTTAGAGATATACAGCTAAAACTAACATTAATTAAGAGTTTATTATATTATGTAATATGCGGTTAGTTTATAAACACATTATCGCTTAAGAAAATGAAATAAAAAACATGCTAAAAGGGACCCAAATAAAAAATTACAACTTACAAATTACAATATCTACTTACCTATTGGCTCAAAATATAATATTGTTATCCAAACTGTAAATTAAAAACAAAAGTTTATATGCTAACAATAGAAGTAGGTTAAAATTGACTTTCAAGATTCAAATGAGTGGGACAATCACCAACGATAAATATACTTAGAGCATAACATTAGACAGCCCAGAAAATTTAATATGGGATTAGACTTAGAGAAAACTTAATCTGTTCTTAATTTGTTTTGAGTTCTTAATAAAGCATTGTTATATCTTTATTTTGATTCAAAATAGTCGTAGTCATAAGAAAACCATGTGAATATTACTACTATTGTACCTACACACTTTGTTGAATAGAATGAATGGTTGAATATTGATGTACCCCACCATATACCTATATTTATTACTTAGCTCGTGACATTAATCATTAAGATTAACATTTCACCTTTAAAAGTCCAAGGCTCATATGTTATGGAGAAAACTATAAGATCATTACAATACATATCCAACTTTTTTGAAATTTCTAGTCTAGGACTAGTAATAGGGCAAGGACGGCAAAATACTATTAATAAAGAACAGATATGTTAATTAATTTGCTTTAAAATGACATTATGTTACTTTACGGGTAGATATACTCTGTATCATCGTTTGGGGCTTTCAAAGCATGAAAATAAAGAATGAAAAAATAACAGAATTTTGTTACAAAAGATACGTTAAATCAAACATTAATCAGAGATAGCCGTCTAGCTTCCAGAATCATTGTTCACAATGATTTTTGTGAGTACAACAACAAATGTAAGCATGTTATTGTTTCTCGTGTACTATCCTACCTACTAGTGTTTATGTGTTTTTTTTTTTGTTTCTTTTTTTTTTAATTAAACAGGAATGTTGTATTGTGTGTTGTAATCAGGAGATATCAAGATCATCTTTATAGTATTTTTTTGAGTGTGGTGTTAGTACAGCAAAGTCCTTACACCCGGTGTTAAGACCAATGCTGTAGACACAATAACCAGTGTTAAATAAATAAAATTTATTGTCTTATATTAAATGAGATGAGACCGAATTTTAAACTGATGGCACGAAAAGTATGTAGAACACTTTAACAAGTTATTAGTGATTACGATAATTGAAAGGTTTTCTTATTTCACGTAATCTTGGTATGTTTAATACGTCATAAAGGCAAGGCTCAAAAACTTGTCCAGCAGCCGCATCTACGCCGCGCAGTCTGTTTATGCAGACACATTACATAATTAGTTTTGAAATAGTACATGTGTTGCTGAGTATGTAGTTTTGAGTTAGCTTATGTAATATTTGCTTGATATGAAACCTAGAGATTTCATGTCATGGCTGGCTGTTAGCAAAAAATTAACGGACGCTGACATAAGTTGGTATATCTACTTACTGGTCACTGTAAGTTTTTTAACGAATGCCACAGAGAAAAAACACTATAACGAGTTTTTTGTTTCAGCTAGTATTATAATATATAATTATAATAGGGAATATGCATGTGACACCAAAATGGACAAAATATTTTTATTTGTAATTTTTATTGCTAAAAAAAGATACCCATACAATTATTTTTCAAATTTATTATAATTTAATAGTGAAATTTAATCATCAAAAATCGGCTTTTTTAAGATTCCCTCGCAAATTTCTAAAACGCAACGCTATTGGTTGAATAAAACGTGACGTCAACCTACACTGTCAAGAGTGTCAACAAGTTGTGTGTATTTGTAATATTTGGTTTCTGGTGATTATTTGTTTCATTTTAAGTTTATAACTAATACGTTTTCAGTGTTAAATTATTAAATTCCCGTGTACAAAGACTCAACACAATGACTGAATATACTTTGTCAGGTGCAGTTTTGATATTATTTCTGCACAAAGGAACGGCACAATATTTATAATAAGTTTTTATTGGCTTTTCCATGGTAATAAGTTAATTTATATCACTCACTTTTTTAACGTTCACAAACTTTGTGAACTTCACTCCGTTGTTGACATCGAATTCGTCTGAAAGTGTAATCTGACGTCACAAAAAAAAGCGCGCCAAAATGGACGTGTTCAAATTGCCCCAAAATGATAGTGATATTAATAAATTTTTTTTTGCTTAACGGTTTATATTTCGGATGTGTTATATTTATTTTTGGTAATGTAATAACGAGTAGAATCGTTTAAAAAAATAAAAAAAAATACATGCATATTCCCTATTACTAAAATATATATTTTTTATTAGTAATACATATAATATTTAGAATCTATACATGTTTACACTTTTTTAAGTGTAAACAAGAGTGTATATAAGTGTAAAGATTTTTCTTTTATTTATCTCTTGAACATCTAGAGTTAGATTGTTGCAGACGAAAAGAGCCCTTGTGAAGGTAGGATTGTTTGTTTGTGACTCAGCAGTAAACAACATTGTAAATAATGCTATAGTTGTAATTAAGACACATTTTAAATGTTACTTAGATAGTTGCAAGCAATCGTAACGAATTTTGCCTGTCAATACTCAATTAATGTTGTTAAATCCTTTTATCTACATTTTTGTTAGCACCTTAGGCGAAAGTCGACAGACTTGACGCGCTCAAGATATCGACTCTCTCCACATTTCATTTATTTGTCACAGTTTTCGCGTTTTATATACGTGCACATATGAATACGTGAGTTGTAAAAAGTCATACTACTGGGTGCAATACCCCAAGGATGAATTATTATAACTTACCGCTTAGGTCAAAGTTGTATCTTGTCGAATTCTCCGCACCTAGCAAAAAGATATAAGTATATATATATATATATATAACTAAAATAATGTAAGCAGCGAGCTTGTATGAAAGTTTAATGATTAGTAACTGTCTCTGCCTACTCCTAAGGGAGAAAGGCGTGAGAGACTGTATGGACGAGATACCAACGAAGTCGTAAGAAGAGATACTGAAATTCATTGTGTATTTTATTAGAAATAACACTGCATATTTAAAACGCCATTGTAAAATTTTAAGCAAGTAATTTATTGAAATCGAAACAAAATTTTACGTAATTCGCTTTTATAAAATTTAAAACATTAGAATAAAATCTCTTTGCGGTAAAATAATCACTCATTAAGATTACAATCTTTATGTTGTTGTTCACAGATGTCGTTCCGAGCGTTGATTTCTTCAGCTGTCGGTAGATGGCGGTACATCACTGCTGAGCCACGTAGTTCTTTACTAGACCTTTCATTTTTTACTTCGTCTTCGTTACCAAATACGGTTTTTTGCATTCTAGAAATAAACGGAGTAACTTTACAAACTAAGAGCCGAATACAACTAGTTTCTTCGCCAGTGCCTTTTTCTTGGATTAATTCGTCAATGGCATCTGGCAAAGACGTATTTTTAGCAGCAGTGAGAATATCTTGAAGTCTTCTTGAATTCTTATTCAGGATCCACATAGCAGGATCATCTGATCGGTACGGTGCTGATTCGCGTTTTGGTCCTGCTAAGAATGTAGATATCTGAAAAGTTTTAACAATAAAGGTAAACATATAATAATAAGTTTTGCACTTGTAATTTAACTGCACTTGTTAATACTTTCATGGTTATGTTTGTGTAGGCCATTAACAGCAACACAAGCATAAGGATAGGGACTTTATATAGTCCTCGTGCTTTATCCAGGTGGAGACCGAGGTGAAGCATAAGTCCGGCTTCGTTTACATTCAGTAATAAACACTTAAATAAGATTACATTAAACCAGAGGCCAAGATTATTGGTTATTGATATATACGCAGTAGCTGCAAGTTCTTTAGCCCTATTGTTACCAGAATGTTATGGGTCATCCTAGAAATATCAGAATACCAACTCATTTATTCAGTTTCAGTATTTTACAGGTCCAGCAAGCAGAACATATAGATGGGTATGGGCTCATTTGTATCTGCAACTGAAGGTGTTCAAAGTTTTGGTTGAGGAGCCGCTCCGGTGACAATTGTCTAGATTAGTCATACAAAGATGTCGTGTGTTTGTTTTTATATGAAAAATAAGAAAAACACATACCAACTGTGCGACGAAAACTATAGCGTTAATAGCCACGGCACTTATTTGATTCGGTTGCAGTCCAAAAAGTCTTACTAGCTGTCGTATAGGCGTCAAAGGGCTTTGAGATTCGTTGACGTCATAGACGGGCACTTTGCCATTACTGTGAGATTCACTTTCATTTGAAGAATATTGTACTGTCTCCGCGCTATGAGGATCAGACTGAGGCCATCGTCGGTTGAATGGTTTAGGTTTATTCCCTGTTTGAAAGGCTCTCACTACGAACTCTGCTACTTTTAGAGCTACTGATTCGGAGCCTGAAATTCAAAATCATTACACTGTTAGACAACAGGGATCCCACTGTGGTTTTTCCTGGTAAAGTTCTGTAAATCTTAGATGTAAAATGATTCAGAACGCTATTGTAGTAGTGTTTTTTTTCGGATTACTTCAAAAATTGTTAGAAGGATAATATTCCAGAGAGTATTAAGGCTGTGCCATCTATATTAGTTATTTATAAAGGTCCCTTATTGCTATCGTTATTTTAAGGATAACTTGTAAAGAACACATTATACACACATGTACTCCCACCTGTCTTCCCAATGTGTAGGCAGAGGCAGCATGCCAATTGCCTTCAACCAGGCACTTTAGACACTAAAAATAGGGGAAATTTTTAGTCTAAATAAAAGGCAAAGGTGTGATACCCTTAACTCGACCTGGCTTCTAGCCCTCTAAATGACTATTAAAGAAAGTATCTATATGCGATTACAGAAGTCTATTTAAAATTAAGATATCTGAAGCAAAATTATTAATTTTCTGTTTTTCATGTACAAAAGACACAATTATCACATACCAAGAAAATCTTGGGCGAATTTCATACCACTGTTTATTCTATTCATGATTCCATCATTTTTGTATTGTTCATTGCCGTATACCACTTGGAATATAATGAGTAAAACACAGAGCACATGTACCGCCATCTTGAAATCACGAGTTGAACTACAAAGAGATTGTATGATGGGAGGGTGTTCCATGGTTGGGTTCTTACTGTAATGGGTGCACAGGCACAATTGTCGCACTAGAGCATAACATTATAATATAATTGCGACTTTGGCAATATGTACAGGTTGATAAATTCGAAGATACACCTATTAATAAAATAACCATTAACAAACATTGTTATGCCATACCTTACTAATATCCCAATTTTTTATAACATTCTAAGAGATGGCGTTAGTGGTTTTCAATCTAAAAAACATATCTCTGCCATATATCTTTTTTAGATATGTCTGCGATACGATTTTGGTTAGATTATATGTATATAGAACTGTAACATTCATTCAATAGAAACCTGATATATATGTATAAAGTTACATATTAAAATATCAACCTGTACATTGAGAAATCTTTACTCTAGAGGAGACAATGAACACGGAAACGTTAATAGTGCTGGCTGTGTAGACAGTTTCCATAGTACTTAAATAAAAAGGAAATAGTTTTAGCCTATATCAGTTTGGTTTGGCACAATACTGGAGCTTGCTGCTTGGGCCAAAACTAACTTCGTCTCTAGAGACAATTTCATGTAGTGGTTGTGCTTCTGCTTGTGAGCAATAACGTACAAAAATGGCACGTACGGCAACAGGGTCCTGAATTTCAGGTTTGGTCCTGGATTGGTTGCAAACTATGAAATAATTTTACAGAATGGAATAGAGCAATGCTTCGGCACGACCGGAGTGATACCACAGCCTCACAGAAAACCGGTGTTAAACAATTATTTCGTTGCTTTTTACAGACTGAGTGAGGTTACCGAAGGGCCTAACTCTCAGTAAAGTAACGGAAAACTCAAACATACCGCAATTTTAATCCTATGACATAGTTATTTAGACAATTTATAAAAAAATTAATTACTTACCCACTAAAGAGTACCATCTAAACAGTAATATTGACTAACGACGACGATAATAGTATAAATACCTAATTTAAAAAAACCACGCTTTTTAACCAGTCGAGCTAAAAAGTAGGAAATAAGGTTTAATTCGTGAAGCCTAAAATCGGAGTGCAATTGGAGAGGGTTATGTCCATTGTCCATTAGTGGACTGCGATAGGCTCATGATGATGATGATGATGAAGTAAAAAAATATTTTAGCGTAAAATAGCGTGGGAAGCTAGATGTTAATTGTTGTAAATATTTTATTGACAGATATTGTTAACAGTAAACTTATTTTATCTTATTAGATATCTTAGAAAGAACCCTATTCTGTTTTTTCAAATAGAATGTTTTTTTTCTAACTATATTTCTTTTTGAACTCTTAGAAAATTATTTCCTACTTTTCAGTTTTTCAGGACCCTGAATTATTTCGGAATCGGTACTTTCGATCTACAGTACAAACCCTACTAATACTCACTTTGCGGTCTCAGAGGCTCAAGTTATTACCTATGCATATTGTATTTGAGTTGGTGGCACAGCTTTAGACTATTAAACTATCAAAATGTGTGATTATAGAATGCGATGAGATGAAATGAGTGAAAATTACTCAGTATTTAGATATAAAAGCACACTGTCCTATTTATTATGACCGCTACACAATTTTTGCGCTTAACAGACCATAATGATCATGATGGTAAATGTCAGTTCAACTTATTGCTAGACCTGACGTCTTGAGAGACACATCGTATTAAAATGTTTATATTTATTTTCATAGTTGGTGTAACAATGGCTGACATTATTTCAAATGATGTAGAATATCTTAACGAGTTACCTTTAAACAAGCTTTTAAGTATGAAGAATTCATTAAAGGAACTCGTAACTACTGAATATGAAAATGAGACGAAGACAACTACACCATCGTACTTGCAAAGATTCGGGGCTCAGGCTATGGCCATTCAGGCGCAGCCTCCTATCAAGCGAGGAGATTACGAAGAAGCATTGTATAAGAAAGGAGAGAGCAAGATTAGTAATATATTTTCGATGTCAGTGACAACACTTGCGTTCTTAGCCTTCGGTGGCTACCTTCTGTGTTTAATAGTGCAAGCAGTGAAGGCAAAGCAGAATGGCATAGTAACGACTCCTACGCAACCTACATTTTTCGTCAGTGCAGCAGGTATTAAAAAGAAGCCGCAGTCACAATTCGCGTCATACGGAAGAAAACGAAGAGAGAACAGGCTGAGAAGAAGTTTGAAAATGCTAGATGTACCTCCAGAGCAACTCTTTACGGCTTTATTGCAAGTGTGTGAAAGTTTTGCTAAATGGAGTGACCAACAAGAGTATATAAATACTTGGTAAAAATTAAGCATATGTACAATTCCAAACAGAACTGGAAATAAGTATTCTGTAGTTTTGTAAATACTTGTTTTCATTTAATGGAAACTAGAAAAATCCGCTAAAGTTTAATTTTATACGTATACGTAAATCTAAGCTCACATTTTTTACAATATAAATCTTTATGTTTTATGTAAGTGTTCAATATACCTGTAATAGGGCTGTGTATATTAAATAACCTTACATCAGTAGTTTTATTTACACGTCTATCCCATCTTAATCAGAATCAGCACATAATATCTATAAAGCTATTATTATTTTACGTTAAAAACCAAAGTACCACAAAACACTGTTTACATTAAAAGCAGGAAACCAGATTGCCTACCAATATACCTACAATCTGTAAACGTTTTCAAACTGTCAAATAATCACGCTAACACCTAATAATAGCTGCATCTTCGTTTTAAAGATTTTGTTGTAAATTCCACCCCAATGAAATTTCGCTGGTTCCCCCAGTCAATCGAAACCAGATTTAAAATCGCTGCACTAAGGTTTAAAATTGTATGGACGCTTACGATCTTTTTATGATATTTTAGCATGCTACAAGCGTTGAGTTTTGTTTGTAAGAGCTGGTAATGAGTGGGCTGCATTCGGTCTGTCATCGCGCATGCTCTAGTGTTTACAGGCGGGTGCCCACATAAAAGATTAGCACGATGCGGAATAGCTCTAACGTGGCTTATAAAAATAAAAATGTGATTTATCTACCAGTTATAAAACTGTGGCATATCCAGAACGGTTTTACACGGTTTAATAGTAATTTTGAACACTGAACTATTTAACATCTTTTGTTTAGGCATCTATATGTGGTTCCTTCTTTAAACAGGATAACAGGTATAACAAAAAATATTTTACATTGTATAAATATCCCTCACGTATTAATTATGAGTAATTTGCTTATTTACAAAGAGTCAATAAATTGTATTATTATTATTGGTTTTACCAAGAAAATATTTATAGTATGTTCAAGCCTACAAAAACACTCATACGGCATTTCACAAGATGATCACTTAAACCACTGCGACACATTTGGATTTAACGTAAACCTGTGTTTAACGATAATTGGTGTAACCATCCCTTAACTTTAGCTTTAAGATAAGGGCTTATACACACCACATGTCTTATAAATGATGACGGGTAAACACAGGCTCCTCTTGTATCTCAAATAATTATCCCAGCCGCGCCTACTGTACTAACTCAATATTTTTTATTGCTTAGTAATAAAAATTGTAACATAATGATTAGGTACTGTTCTAGCATTACTTTGAGTTTGTATTTAATTGATTAATGTGATTGTTATTAGTTTACTATTTTTACACTACTACATTACAGTGAATGCTATGTACACCGTAATTGTCATACATATCAGGTATAATGCTACATATTGTCAAAACTTATTAAAAAAAAAAATTGCATTTGCGAATAGATGGTGGTCACCGAAAGACTGCTCGTTGTGAAAGTCATTAGGAAAGGGTCATTGTCAGCAGTGGACTTAAAATGAGTATGACGTTGCTGGGATGGAGACTAATTGACAAACAAGCTCAATTTTCGAAATAAAAACTGATAAATTGAGCTTGTAAATTGACCGATAATTCTAATATTTCGTTAGAGAGGGAGCCGACATGAATGAAGCTACCTATAGGTTTAAATTTGTATTAAATTATATTGGTATAGATGTTAATGGAATGTCCAGACTTTTTGTCAGAAAATGTCTGTAAAAAATTATAAACATAATCAAATGTATTGATTTACATGTTAAATTGTTTAGAAATAATGAAATAAAGCCAACTAAGTATTGTTTATTACAAAAAAACATTTTAATATCCATTTTATTTCCTAGCAAATTAACTATTAGCCGGCGGCACTAAACGCAACAAAACCATAAAACTATGAATTTTGATGATATTATTAAACGAACAAACTCAATAATATTTTCACAATGTGACGAACATACATATACTATTATAAGCTTGTAGAGCAGTAAAAGTACTAACAAGTAATACTCGTAAGTATCCGGCCGGATACTTGCCAGAACTCCGTTTCATTTTCTAATTATAATCAAATCCTCAACCGCCCATAAAAAACAAAAACAATTCGATATAATGTTTACTAAAACGATAATCGAGTGAATAATTTAACATTTTATTTAATGTACGTTTTATTCGTGCTAATATGACTCGAATGGCAGACGCATAATGGAGTGTGTTTAGGTCAAAGGTTTACGATTGAGGACCCTCTAAACTAAATTGAATTCGACTCGGAATCACATCGTAAAATAACTCATTGCAAGACTTTACAATCGATCACAAATGTTATGGGAGACATTCGGCAAAGAGTTGTAAAATAAAATATAAGAATGCAACTGTACCTCGAACTGTGTGGTACCAGTGTGTAGTCATCTGTTGAAATGAACGTTATTAAACTCTGTTTTTTCTTATCACTGGATTAGATTAACATCTTATAAAGAACAAAACACCCGTCGGTCATTGAACAGTTTTTTTTATGTTACAGGGGGCAGACGAGCATACGGGTCACCTGATGGAAAGTGACTATCGCCGCCCATAAACGTCTGCAACTCAGGAGTCACAATCGCGTTGCCGGCCTTTTAGGAAGGAGTACGCTCTTTTCTTAAAGGTTTGAAGGAAATACCGCAAAGGAAAAGGAAAAAGGAAATACCGGGGCAAAAAGTGTCTCGAAAAGTGCACAGTAGTGGAGCGCCAACTATCCATGTGATGAGGATGAACATTTTGCCGTGCGGCTGGTATTAGTCCGAACAATTCCTTGTAGCAGAATGCAGAGCGGAGTGGAATGGAGATGCCCCTGCATAGAGATGAGAACAGTATTCCATATGCAGCCGGACTTGCGTCTTATAGAGCTGAAGGCGGTGGGCCGGAGTGAAATACTGCCGATGTCTAGGATTCCGATGGAGGGGATACGACAAATGGTATCTTTTTTACGGTGAACGCACATACCTGTGTCTTTTTTGGGTTAAACTGGACCAGATTTAGTCAGCCCCAATCTGAAACCTCCGCTAAGGAAGTTTCAATTTCAGACACAAGTTTGTTTCGACTCTCGATGACGTTTTCCCGAGAAATATTGGGTAAAGGGCATCTCCTGTGCTATCATCTGCATATAGCAATGCATGCTACTAGTTTGCAACATGTCATTGATATGCAGAAGAAACAGTTTGGGTGATATCATACAGCCTTGTAGGACACCAGCATTTACGAAGTTCAAGTCGCAGCATGCACCGTCGACAACGACCTTAATAAACTTTTAGGTTATTTTTACTGCATGCAGTATTTTAGGTTATTTTTACTGCATGCAGTATTTTAGGTCACTGCTAATTCCTTCATATGTATTTGTAATTTTTTTTTAATTATCTTCTGTGAAATAAAGTCACAATGGTAAATTGTTGAGATATTTTTTTTGTATGTTTGTTACGCGATATCTCCGTCAATTGAAGACCGATTTTCAAGATTCTTTTTGTAATCGAAAGGTATGCTCCCGAAGTGGTTCTATTACCACTAAATCAGGATCTGTTGATATTATCCTAGAGAAATAGAGGGAAACCCTCAAATTTTACAGGCCCGAAACGTATTTTAGCTTATTTCTCTAGATTTATAGGTATTTGCGTTTAGTAGTCATTATGTCATGTTGCTGAGCTGATGATGGGAGGATCCTTGACCTTTAAGAGTTAGAAAATAACAATAAAATGCCCTTAGTTGGACGAACCATATCACATAAAATGTGATTAAATTATTTAGTAGGTTTTCGTAGAATAGCAAATGGCAAAGATTCGTTTTGCAGGCTGTTACAGAAATTCTTCATTTAACAACACTATAATGTGCCGCCCACTTAGTATCCCTTAGGAATACATCACCAATCCAAACTAGCGGTACCTTTTATTTGTGTTTAATGCTCATTGTCTGATTAGTTTTATGAGGTTCTATTAAGCTAGGCAACATTAGCAGTTTTATTTTCATGAGCTGTCGGAAAGCTCATAGGTGATGTGATCATGAACTTTTTTTTAGATTTTTTAGACAAACGCACCCTTCAGACTTTTAACTTTATGAAACGGACAAGTTTATCCAAATAAATGATCTACCTTTATGTTCGTATCATGCTATTGCCCGCGGCTTCGCTCTCCTGATTATTTCTTACTTTTGTTTTACTAACTTTGAAAATCACGAACGTCCATACAATCACCATCATCAACATCATTTAATAGACCATCTTCTCTGTCTCCCCATACTACCATTCACCCCTTATTTTACCCCCTCCTAATAAGTATATAAATTAATATTCGAAATATCCTAAAATCCTTTCTTAGTGGGTGCTTATAAAAACTTCAGCTGCCAAATTATCAATTCTGTAACCCCACTCGTTTAGACTGCGTTGATGAATCAATCAGTCAGTCAGTCAGTCAGGGTAAGTAATTTAAATGTATAGGTTACAAATGGTATAATAACTGTTGTTTTGTGAAAGAGGCATCGAACTCCTTTCCCTCCTTTCAAACAGTGGACCTTTAAGCCAAATTCAAGTAGTAATCGTTCTTTACAACAAGCTTACGGATACTAAACTACTAAGTATGTAGCAATAACTAACGCTAAAGACAACTTGACGGTCCTTCTATATCATAAGAAGTGATTATTTAAATTACCAGCTGGTTCACACACGATGCCAGAGAGATAAGTCATTAATAACATTTATGCCGACAACTAATACATATGTTGTGTCGTGTACCTAAATGTATGAGATGTACAAGACATAATTATCGCAGTAATCTATACTAAACAGATTGGTATGATATTTCTGTTCCTGTATGTGTAAGTATAGGTAGGATAAAATACATGTGTACAATACACGATGCTTTAAATCTACTAAAGAGTTAGCGATATCGACTATTAAAAGTTTTAGAAGACTGGGGTGGACCTGAAGACTGACACTATATGTTTGATAGTGGT